CCAGGAAAAAAAAAAACGCATTTCAGCAGGAGATAACGATAATGAGCAGCTACTAACAAGATATCCTTAGCTCCCTAATAAGCATTTGATAGTCAAGCTGAAGCAAACTCCTCAAGTAAGTAGGCAGAAAGGGTCACCTTTGAAAAAAATTTCATGCATGGCAAATGTACCTTTTCGTGTACGTTAATTTACTTAGAATATTTATACAGTACGGCCAATGCCCACAAGCATGGATAGACTTCACAAGCGAAAGTCCATGAGGTAGGATAATTATGACCAGTATTTCGACTGCTGAACGGCTCATTTTCGGTACAAAAACCGATGATTCTCTACAATCAACGCACCCCTCGTCAGATGCGTACTGAAACGTTTTTTGTAATTGTATGCTACTTGATAGGAAATTGAGTTTCATTGGCAGTAACTCCTCCATAATAGATTCGCCTTCTCCTTCCGTTCGAATCCTCAGCCAACGTAGCTTTCATGAAACCTTGAAACCTGGGCATACGAATTTGTATACTTCTTCTGTTCCGTACAGGTTGGCTCCAGTGTAACCCCTTAACTGGTCAACGTTTCACAATTCTCCGTATTCGAACCTGCCATCGCTTATGCCACTCCCAGCGAACCTCCATATTTTGATCCGCAACGGTGAAAAAGCATAGTTGTTTTTTTTTTCATCAACATTTCCTATTTCCATATTTTGAGAAAGCTCTTTCCACAGTTGGAATTAACATCAGTACGTTTTCGAAGAATGGTAGAGTCAGATCCTGAAAGGCCACAAGGAACGTTAACCAAAAAGTACTCCCATCATAACAAACTTGCGCGGCACAAAAGAAGTACACTGTGTGGCTATAGCTCAAACTAAACGATGACCAACTCGTTCAACCCACTTTCTCTGTTGCAACAAGCTTGCATGAACCACTAATTTCAAAGCTTCACTCAGGACGTGAACATTCGAAGCGACACTGTTTGCTGTCATGAAACTCCATCTTCGCTGTCACATGTCAGCATGGCGTTGATGAATCGAAATTATGACTGACAAAATGCATGTTCTCGAGGGAAAATTCGACAGACGTGGATGGACCAACATTCACAAAATGCCCAGGAATGAAATGAGCGAAGCAAGTTTTTCTACGGCTTACGTAGCAAAATGTATCAACTCAACCAGCACTACAAGCTTCCAAATGAAGCTAGAAACCAAATAAAGAGCAAAGGACAACTTTCCTTCGTCTATCCCACACTGTGAGCTGCAAAATATGAAGTACTATTTGCGTTCCTTACTATTCTTGATATAAGAAAACAAGTGTAGTAGTATGCAAATACTAAATAGCCCTTAAAGGCAGGTGGCACGATAATCATAAAAGGACTACTCTAAAGGGAAAGTGGTTCCTTAATGAAGCGAAACATGGCGCTTCCGCAAGCGAGGGGCACGCCCAGAGCGACCTAGTTAAGCCTTGACGCTCCCTTTACAAGCTCCTCCTTTTGCTCACCAAGCGATTAGCTACCCAGCTGCTGATCTCTCGCCGTCTGACCCCCTTTTTGGGAGAGAGACAAAGCTGATCACTCACGCTCATAACGCCAGCAGCGAAGTAACTCGCCCAAAGCGGAAAAATAGGATATAAAGGAAGTTCCTGGGGAATAGGAATTTCCCTCAGCTTTTTTTGGCTGGTAAACCTCTACTCTGATTCTCCAACAGTAGACTGATCTATCGTATCTTCTGCCTTTTAAAGATCCTGTCCACGATTCAGAGAACTCAGATAAAATGGTTGTAAGGCGTGTAATCATGAACCACGTCCAGGATTTCTGAGCCGACGACCTCATCAGAACTTTGAGCCGAGGAAACGTCCCAAAAATCAAGATTGAAAGTCAAAAAATGAATGTCATCTAAAAAACCCGTTTTAATACTGAGAAAAGGACGGTTTGAGAATAAAATGAATAACATACAAGTCAAAAACAGAACACGACGAGAGTCGATGGGTGAGGTGAAGTGAAGCAAAGCGAATGAAGTGAAGCAAAACGCTTTAGCAGAAGATTGCGCGCAAGTCCCCTTGGGGCCTTGTTTCCGTCCACCAAGTCCAGCAGGTCAGCAAAATAGAACACCAAACAGCACTACACATTCCCCTAGTGTATTTCTCCGATGATGCACCAGGCCCTGAGTGTATTCGAATGAGTAACAAATGAGTAACGAATCGCGATGATAGCTGTTCCATTCGCTACTACATTTGACCCCTCGATAAAATGAGCCTTTTCTCATGTCTACTTAGTAGTTCTGCTCGAATCTTGAAGTGGTCGGATCACCGTTACGTTACATAATAATTCAAAAAATGCAATTAATTTCATGCCCATGAATATCTCCCTGATGCGCCGGAGCCAAAATTAAATCCCAACTCTTCAGAACGGACTCCTTCTTACAATACTTGCCAAATATGGTTAAAAACCTCAACTATTTCGATAATGAAAATCGCGCCCGTGGGAGGACGATGGATTTTTCAACTTTCTTGCAGGATGATAGAAACCTTGAAATTGCATTTCAGACGATCTCGTCAGGAATTACAATAATTTCTTTACTGACAGCAACTTCTTGACGATGAGGCATAGCAAAATGGCGAGCATTTTGTTCAATGAATCAATTATCATAGTGAAGGTAATAACTTCCACGAAGGCAAAAGCTATGAGCAAGCATTCCCTTCAAGAAAACTTGAGACGTGGATCACGGCGATAAATAGAGCATCATCTCGAATGGTATGCTTGACATGGCTCACATGTGGATTAATTTAGACCAGTGTCGAAGTCAAGGAGTGCCTCCCTAGCGACTAACCCGGGCTTTCAAACCTATTCATACCGCTCATACTTTTGATTGACTGTTTCATTTTTGCTAATCAATTTTAAAGTAGTCCTTTGAGAGTCGACGATATAATTCTCTGTCACCGCTCCATAACCATCGAAGCGGAAAAGAGAAATCCGAGGAGAAATTTTGTAACTAGACCCAACTCAAACTTTCGATGCCCTTACAGAGCTATTCAGTGTTTCTCTGAACATCATCACATGCTGAATGACAAGTGTGAACGGTTGATGGCTGATGTTAATTGATGCTCCACAGTTGAAATCTAAGAACGAGGAACATTACTTCCTAGAACATTCCGCAAAACCTCAATAGAGCGCCATCAATTACCAAAATAGGCGTCGGAGCTTTTACTTCCCACACAGCCCTGACCATTACGACTGACTGCCTCGTTTAAAAAGCATAAAAGTATTCGCGCGTGGATGTCATCTCTTTTTGAAAATACGACATGCGTTCTACTCTTTTGTGCTTTCAGTAGTGCCTTGAATGCGTTGTGCCCATATAATGACTTGTCGAGGCAGCACCGTGTACATAGCCGTTGTTTTTATCTCCCAGCAAAATCTGTACTCACAGGTATTTCGGTATTTATCACTTACTCTTAGCAGTGCTTCGTCTGGTTTATCTCGCTCGGCATTATACTGACGTTCAAGAAACATTAAATTATAATAGTTAAGAACACGGCGAATACTAACTCCAAGTATAATTGTGAACTTTTTGAATGTCTCCATTCGCTCCGCCATTATAGAGCTAAGAGAAAGAACTGCACCGTTTCTCAAGGACTACTTTGAAATTAATCAGCAAAAAATGGAACATCCATTTAAAAGACTGAGCTGTGGCGGATAGGCGTGCATGTCTTCGAAGAATGAGGCAGATAGGCGGAACCAAAAACAAGTGGACCGTGGGAGGCATATGAAAGCGCATGGATGCCATAGTGATGCCAGTCCACGGACGGGACATCAACTGCATTTCAGACTGCATTCAACGACGATATACTGAAAAAAAGCTAATCACTATCTTGAGTCTGGAAGCACTTCGACATAACCTCCACCTCACTAGTTAGTTGATTACTTTATCTAAACAACGACTTTTTTTTTACAAACTTTGGAACGCCGCCTGCTACCGTTTCGGGATCGACAAGTCTATACGGTATTCGCCAAATCTTCCTCATGTTAAGGCTTTGCCCGCACATACCTATCTCTGGTAATTTAAAAAGCAGGGGGGGGGCAATAATGCATCTGTAAAAAAAAAACAAAGAAAAACGATCAAGAACCCGAAAACGGGACCCTCATTTTGGTCGTTGATTTTAACTGGACGTATACCACATATAAGAAAGGCCGTTCGAATGGTAGACACTAGCACCATGCGACTATGAACAATAGGCACTTGGCGCTTCGACAGCCAGTGCGAGTTATGTAGAAAAGGAAATCGAACGGTGAGGTAACCATTTCTTTTCAAACAAATTGCCGTTCACTTCTTCTATGCGCATGTGGGATGGGGGAGTGCATGAGAAGGAGCACCTTCAGTGCTTTTACCGCCGTTGATAATGCACTTCCGCTGTAAGGCTGGTCAGAGTCCGCGATCCGTCGCAGGTTTCGCTGATTTTCGCGATTTGCGCGAACCTGCGACGGATCGCAAAAATTGCAAGTGTGTGAACATTTGAAACACTGAATATGAAACAAAGTGGAATCATGAGCAGTCGTCATTCAGCCATCACTATCAAGCAGAAGTGGCGGCAGGATTGGAGAACACCTTGCAGTATTGATCGGACTTGTGACAGAGTCAACCCTGCGTTGCGCAGTTTTCAACGGCCACGTTGCGCAGTTTCGCCCGATTAGACACGTTCTCTCGCGCGAACATTCACACTCGCATGCTCGAGCCGTCTGTGTCTCCGCCCATACAGCGTGCGTTGAGGATCTCTCGATGCCGTTTGCGAACTGCTGTAATTTCCGTGACCCGTCGCGTGAAGTGAGTCGCGCAAGTCGCGAAAATCGCAGCGAAACCTGCGACGGGTCGCGGACCGTGACACCAGCCAAAAAGCGCCACCTATCGCCTGTTTAGATCCTCACAACTCTTGCTACCTAACCCACTTTTTTTCACACATCCGCTTTATATATTTTGTCTATTATCACAATGATGGGCTTTAGAAACCAATCACGCAGTATTACTGAACCCTGGCCTCGAAGACCTAAAAAACAGACACTAGTATTATTTAAAGGAGGGACTTTGGCTGGCTTAGACATGAGCTGCTACACGTAATCGTTGCAAATCGAAAGACTGAGAATTAGAGCTGATGGTGAGCTCGAACAGCGCAACCCCGTGGAAGATATGATACAATAAGATAAGAAGATACGACTCCTTGCAATGAGGTACCAGAATGAATCGGATGATAACGACATAGTAGCACTCAGAGCATGCTGCCATGCAACTTTCCACGCCCGATAATGGGTAGTGTGCATACGCGAAGTTAAGATTTCAGAGCGCTTTTCCGTCATTGCAAAGGCGACCTGCCTCAAATGCCACCCTATGACTCAACTGTAGGCCTCCTACCGTTTACTATTAAACTTTCCACTCGTTCCATAGGACTTATCGCCACCATTCTTTTACGATGATATATGACGAAACTGAAGAAAAGCACGAGATCTCGAGTAAGTCAATGTAGTGGGACGTACCACGTACACACACCATTTTATCCTATAGACAACTGACTACGTTTTGAGCATTGCGAGGGCAGTTCACTTATTTGTCCCCAAGAAAATTGTGCTACTAGTAAAGTAAGCGTAGGTAGAAAAGGAACCAGGATTCTTGATGTTCCGTAGAAGAATAAGTAATAAAATGGATAGACTTTCTATATATTTATATGTGCCAAACTATTTAGATCTGTCACATAACTCAACAAATTCAGAAGTTTTCTGTCTTCAAAATCTTCAAGGACCTCAGGAACATCAACAGGACATTCTCATGTATTGAGAATTTCGAACTGTACAGATGTATACCGTTAATGAGTCTTGCAATAACATTGGTTAGAGATAGCTTTATTTTTGATCTAATGATTTTCCATAAGTGTCTTACTATTGCGTCGGACTGATAACAATTAAAGGAATCCTTCACGGAAAATCATGATTCTATTTCAGCCATAAATCACTGGCTTGAGACTCATTATCCACGATAAGAATGAAAAGAACAGAAATATTGCTTTTGTTTTGGTAAAAAAATTCGAAAAATCGAAAGGGCTGCTACGCGTTCAAAGTGCCCACGGACGTCTTTCACAAATGCTGGCGACGGGGATGCTTCCACTTGGTTCTTGGAGTGCCTTCACTAACTTTCCTGGCCTCTGCTTTATTGCATTCACATCTCACACTTCTACTCCATCCTATTCTATCGATCGATTTGTCTCCACTCTCCAAAATCGCGCGCTTTAACGACATTTTTCTATGGTCGCCTGATAGCTGCTAGCCGGCCAAAGTTCTTCTTCATGCTCGTCCTTTGGCTCCGCCCGAATTACCTTCGATGTCCTATAGTGTAGTTTTTGTACGTTTGTTTCTCTTCGGAAACCGAATCTTCATGCGTGAAACTTTGTGTGCTGTTTCCAGTGATCACAACTGACACATTCATGTCAAGAAATGCAAGAATTTTCCGCGAAGGATTCCTTTAATTAACTGAGTTTCTCAACCAACCAGTACAAACGGTCGAGACAAGACCACCGCTACACATGTTCATAAGAGACGAAGATTTGCATAAACTTAAGATTCGTTGCGAATTGCATCTCATTTGCACTACGAAAACAACCACAAGACGGCATACGAGATAATCGAAAAACTGACAAGTTGGCCCGAATGACTGCATAGAATCTCCTATTTCTAATCTAACAGTAATAGCTAGGGAAGCGACGTGGCTTGAAGTCGTATTTGATAGAATTATAGATTTCACATGGTGCGGAACAAAAGGCTAAATTTGAAAAACGGGAATCTGGAGGAAAAATTCAGATGAACTGGAACACCATGATCCCTATTGTGTCCATAAAGCATACAAACTGCAAGATGCCATAAGGACAATTTGTTCTATAAAAATCTAAACTACCTCAAAAAAGAAGCAAAATGATCCCAAAATTGTAGCGAGTTCAGAATGCCGAGCTATAAAGCTACACACGAAAAAGTAATAAATGCATCATTAAAACAAATTTACTACAGAGAAAACGTCGAAAGCTGCACTTCCCATACCGCCAAAAGATTTTTCCATCGGAGATTAAAATGAATTTCTCAATCACATTTTCAAATATCATTTTCCTTATCAGGGCAATAGTAATCTAAAATATTTTAGTAGAAAAAAAAAACAGAAAATGTTGTTAAAAGAACTGGAAGTTTCGAAATAATCAAGTGCGCTAGTGAAATTGAAATCAAAATTCCGACAGAAATATGCGGATAAGACTACTCTGTTCCCAAAAGTCGAACAATGCTCAGGAACAAGAAAGGAATGAAAATAAGAGAGACACTTGGCCTTGAACGCAGGGTTTAAGTTTCCCAAGCATCATTGAGCGCTCTTATTCCGTGGCAAGCCAACCAAGACCGCTACCACAAAGCCCGCTGAGTGTGTCCCGCATTTCCTTAAGAGCCCATTTTCACACGCAACATGGCCATGCCTCAACCACATTCATGGCGCTTTATTATCTACTGTCTCTAGTAATACAAAATTCCACGGCACCGTGCTACTTCTTTCTACTTTTTATTACATACGCGCAACAAAAATGCGTTGCTGCAAGAAACTGCTTAGAAAAAAGCCTCAAATTACTATAACACAATACACTAACCTGCTTTTGAATTAAAGAACAACTTGCTCAACCACAAGGATAACTGAGTAAAACTTGCAAGTGGAATTCACTTTCGTTATATACGAATAGTCAACGGACTGTTGCTCTTTTCCTTTCTGTACTCAAGTTTCAAGGCGATGCTGATAAGGAACGCAGAGTACAAAGGTTCCCATGCTTTAAAATTTAAGTTTTTCAAAGAATAAGCCGTTGAAAAAGCACTTTTGTGACAGATGACTCATGTAGGATCAAGGAGCGCATGAACGATGAAGTGGTGGGGTACAATAATTCGCGCATTACTTAAGCCTACAATCATAACTAAGAGAAAAGCTATGATTAGATGAGTGTAACATAGTAAAAACAATACAATAATGCGCTGGCCAAAACTTTATCCCGTGAAGGCATTACGAAAGACATGAAGCGTTTACGTGTTAGAACTTGTAAGCTTTACGTCGGCAATTTGAACGATAGTACTTTCATATGTTTTTCGGGTTCTAAACTGTGGGGGAAGATAGAATCATGACGCTTCCGCGAACAATCCTCCCAAAGCAACAACCTCTTTCTTCTTCAATCTCCAAATGAGGCCGTGTCGAACAATCTACCCTGTGGGTAGGATAGAGTAGTGTGCGAGTATCACAGTTCTGCACTGTCGCTGCTCTGGATCCTAAGGGTAAGTCCTCACAATGGTGAGCTAGTGGCGAGAATACATTCGTACCTCGCACGCACTCATGGACCGACAAAGTGTTTAGCGGCACTTCAAATACGCTCGGTTAGTGAGCGCGATATCGAGCTATTTCAGACAATTCGCCAAAGCACGCCCCTCCCTCATGTCGAGAGAGAAGAAAGGGATTCTTGTTTCGAAACTTCAACGGCAGTTCGGCCAGTTGCTTTCCTCATTTTCAGTCATGGCATCCACAATTCATACCGTCGCTTTAAAGGAATCCTCCACGGAAAAAGCTCCGCCCTCATTACCACAGAAAACGATACCTTAAAGGAATTAAAGGAATCTTCCACGGAAAGAGTGATCATTTTGTCTTGTGTGTAGGATTAGTATTATCGAAACTAACGCTTATGTTCCGTTCTTTTTGCTATGCTCATGAGGCTAGGGGCCTAAGGGGTATCGTTTTTCTGTGGTAATGGAGGCGGAGCTTTTTCCGCGGAAGATTCCTTTAACCACCACTTCAATCTAGATTTTTCACTTTGATGGTAACTGATAACTAATATCCTAGGCTACGTTTTTTCAGAGGGTTGCGACTCAAAGGGAAAATACTATCCGTTAAGAAAAAAATTGAAAGTAGCAGGAACGATCTGAGCAGATTGAACTGCTTTAAACACTCGTCATCAACTCTTATAAGTGCTAGAGGCAGGGAACTAAGACGTGTGGTCGTGTTGAACGCGAAAACGTTTAACGAGCTTCACATTGAACCATGGAAAAACTATCAGTACAACGCAGCCATGCATGACTTTTCGTGACGACAACCCTTTTGACCCCGCCTACCTTAGCAGCAGTAGTTTTCCGGGATTTTCCTGTGAGAACTTCATTTTTGCATGGATTTTTGAACGGCTCTCTGACACCACACACAACGCACATACACGGAGAAAATTGAGCGACTCTCCATGCGAATGCCTTTGAAATAATGTGGTTCGATAAAAGTCTGTACTTATCTTTCCGCATATCAAAAAAACTAAAAAATAAACTCATACAGCAGCCCCTTGATGCCGAACAAAGCAGTGGTCACTCTGGATGAAAAAAAATTGAATGCTTCTCCACCACGCCAGAAAACACCAACGCTATGCATTAAACTTCTTAGTTTCGACCAGCTAATTGAGCCGCTGACATGTAAATTGATCCCGTTGTCCTGTTGTCGTAGCAGAAAATTTGATCTATAACTACATTACCTAGAGCTTCCAGACTACATGCTCAATGAGGAAGGGATAAAAACTACTTTAGGCCTATAAATAAGAAAATAGGCTGAGAGAAAAAAGAGCGCAATGTGGCTCGGGGGGGGCACTCTGAAAAAGGCATCTAGGACTAAGCCTAAACAGCAGGGACGAACTCCGGAGAATACGAAAATTGCTTCCGCACCGGAGTTCCTCTCCTCTTCAAAAGCTTAGTCCTGAAAATGAGCGTTTCCGTGATCGGACACGATGTTACGTACTGTCCCCGAGCCAAATTGCGCCAAAAAAGCAGTTCTTTGTTACCACCTTTTTTTGCTTGAAGTAAAACATAAGGAAATGGGGTTGTCAAATTTTACGGAAATAATTTTGAGATTATGCAAATAAAAATGAAATTCTACTCAAATTCCTAATTATAATGTATGCTATACGAAGTATGCACATTTCTCCCGAAGTTGCTAAGTGAAAAACGTTTCTAGGTACATCTTCCAACCCTCTCGATGGACGATCAGTAAAGCCCGAGACCTTTCAAGTATCAAATTCCAACCTGCAAGCGAGCAGATGAAGATGAAAATATGAAAAAGAGCAGACAGAAGATAAAGCAGATTCTGAGAATTCATCGTCGCATTTCATTCTCTCTTCACATCAAGAATTAACTAGATCACGTACCTGATCCGTAAATTGCCTGGGATTCACTAGTTCCGTACAGCCGTAAGTAACACGCTGTAGATTTTTCGACTTCCCGTAATCAACCAAATTTTGGTATTCAACGTAATTACCACCACCAATCACAAACAAAATGACGTCTTGTGGAGGAGGCTGACGAGCACGGACTGCGTTCGATGTGCTGTAAAAAGCAGAGGTACCCTCATGACTGCTGTAAAAAAAAATAGATAATAACTGTAGCTACAAAAGAGGAGGCCCAAAATTGAAAAAAAAATTGGTGGTAATATGAGAACAGAATGAACTCTACCCAGCGTTCCAACAGCAAAGAGCGCTAGAAATAAATAAAAAGTTCATGATCAGAAATTGGATGTTCTGGGTCGTGCAAGAATAAGATTACAAAGAGTAATCCTCGAGGCGATCGTGGTCAGGGTTTCACGATTTTTCAACAGCAATGACCACTCTGAAACAACGCTCGACCAACATCAGTCACTGCAACCTCTGCCCAAGGGAGTATTTTCCAGGCAAGTGCGCTTTCATAGAACCGGTCTAGCTACATATTGTAGGGACATCATGTTTGACCAAACCGTGTTTCGTTTTCGCTGACGGTTTTAGCCTAATGGAAAGAGTGTGACATATACTCCTACCTGTTCCACATCCCCTCCCGCGACACGGCGGCCACTTGGCTTCAAAATGGTCCTGACGATGAATTTGACATCTGATTTTGATATTTAGCGCGATTTGGCACCAAACCGTAGGCGCCAACCCAAATGCAAAATTTAGTCGCCACGGGGATCGAACCCTTAACAGTACCTTATGCTTTTTTGGTACTGCTATAACCGTTCAGCGAAAATGAAACATGGTTTTGCGTTCCCTACATGCGTCCCTACAATATGCACAAAACCGTTTTGAAAAAGCGCACCTTGCCCTGAAAGACCTCCCTTGTCAGAGATACAGCGAACTGTCATTACAATCAACATTCTACACGTACTTTCAAGCCCACAGGATGCGTCAGGCGTTTTATTCTTATTCGATTCTGCAACTGCAACGATTTAGGACATAAGTGTAAATAAAACATTCGTGGGGTGGTCGCTTCGCAAGTTGTTATGGACTTATTAGTAAAACTAGCTAGGATATCAAAATGCTCAACAAATTAGATCACTAATTCTCCGGAAAATACAAAATCTTCAATAAATCATCTAGTTAGTGGAATAATCGAGGATTGCAGCTGTTTTTGCCTCTAAAGTTTTGCTTGTTTTGTTTTTTTTTTTTAAGTGGGAAAACTAGCAAACATACTCTCTCGACATCGCGTGCATCACTTTTGGATCAAGATAGCACAATTCATTGCTCTCATTCGTTTGTGCAGTGCCGATCATCTGATTGATTCCTACTGTTGAAGATGATGGCGGTGTGACCAACGAGTCAACCATCTGGAATCATTTCAAATATCAAGTAAGACAAAAAATTCGAAATAGAAACGTGCGTGAACCTTCTCCAAAACATTTTACATTCTAGGTTACTTTTCGTCGTTCCCTTGTGTCTTTTTTTCGTCAATCCCCAGCCCACTGGCGATCTTCTGCGATTGATGAGGTTCGTTTTAGGAAGGGAAACGAACCACATTAATACTATTACTCCAAGTCATTTCGTTCACATGAGGGTTATTTATTCCTCTTTAAAAAGGTTTCATATTTACAGCTGAAGAAAAATTGAATATGGTTCAGATAGATTTATCATTACTTCCAAATCCTTCACACCAACTAGTCCAGACCCGTTACCTCTGTGCGCTACAGCCATTAAATTTCTAGATTTGTGCGAATTGATACACCATCTATTTATGACTAATGTTACTAACGATGTCATAAGATATAATAGATTTCAAAAGCTGCCACAACCGCTACATTATACTCTTACTACTCCTGGTTTACATTGTGAGGCGAAACACGCGCAGCGAAAACGATATAAAAAGGATAAAGCATTTGCCGTTGATCAATCCCGTTTTGGGATGCGGCACGCATTCTACTTCCATTTGTACATTCGCAGTGGCATTTGAATGCGATGTGGCCTATACAATGACTTGCGGGGGCCAGCCGATGTTCAAGTCAGTGTTTTTATCCTCCCAGACAAGTCTGGTACCAATTAACCGACCCCGGAGGGATGGAAGGCTTGGTTGGCCCGGGCGACTCACGACCCAGGATTTGATCCCGGACCGCTCGCGTGGTGAGCGCGCCACTTGTCACTACACCACTTCCCCCAAGCTCCTGGGATAACAGAACCAAGTATATTGCTGTGCGATAGTGTGGTGTAATTTGGAACCAATCGATTAGAGTTCCGGAAGTATCATTATTTTACGTCATTTTCTACCTGCCGTAGTGTGGACAGCGGGGGCCGTTGTTGACACTTGTGGTGATCGGGATCGAATAGGCTCGGACGGACGCCGAGCCCAATGCTCTACCTCCGGGGTCAAGTAACTGGCACCAAACTCATCTGGGAGGAGAAAGCACTGAATTTTACACATCGGCTGGCCCAAGTCATGGTATAGGCCACGTCGCACTCAAAATGCCACTAAGACTCTGGATGGAAGTCGATGGAGCTAATCCACAACTAATCTACGCGAATTTTTGAGGCTTTGTTCCAATATTCTCAGAGCACTTGAACATTCGAACTGGTCAACTGTTTCTTTTGTTTCAAGGTTTGAGGGCTTTCAGAGACAATTCCTTGACTCTCAGGGCAAAAACTAAGACCTGAATTATGTATTCAGAATTTTTTGGGCTCTCATTTTGGTTTATCAGAGATTGTATTTCGCGGAGAAACGTTAGTCGAAGCTCCAACTCACCTGAAATGGAGATCAAGGGTCACCAGTTGATTTTCGTGCCTTTTTAGGCGCTCTTGAAAAGGGCGCATGAAAAATGAATCCTTTTCTTTGTTCCACGCACGTGCCTCCATGACACGAGATAAACTGCTTTAAAAGCGCTCCATATAATGATCCTTACATCTTGCAAGCCGTTGAAATTCGGCCATATCAACTTCTACCATGAGTTTAGTTTCAGAGAAAAAGTCCATACCAAATTTCAGAGCTTATAAATCTGGTGCGGAAAACAAATAAGCACAGCCTGCAATTTGAAGCAAATTTTGGCCTTCTGAAACTTTGACGTTGTGGTGTTAATAAATTAGACCGAAATCGATAACCATGGAAAACCGTTTTTGGGAAACTGAAAACTGAAGTGTATTGACCCTTACCTTTAATGAAATAAGCGCAACGTGTAAAAATCCCTATCCCAACCTGAGAAACTCTACCGCCAGAAGAGGTTACCTGATCGCAATATTTTCTCCAATTCAGTTGGTACTTTTGTGTTCTCAGTTTTTGCCGCGCTTCAGATAACCGCGATATTGAACCAATTAAGCTTTGATGATTCAGTTTTTTGCGGTTACTTTAACGAATATATTTACAATTGACGACATAT